TGGTTAATGATAAATTTTATTCGTAACATCACAGCCTCATGGTATTTGGTGTACCAATGCAACCCGGCCTTTTCTGTCTTTGACCCATTTTTTACATATTATTCGGTGCATTTTATTTATATTCAGAAACAATCATTTTCATGAAACATGTGTTTTACCTTGTGTGGCTGTGCCTTTTCTCACAAAGCAAGTTAATCAGAAACCTATAGCTATACCTAATTCATTGGATAATGATAAACTGCCCAAAACACTATATTATCCAATACAATTTACCTTCATTTTATAAGATATATGATAGGATATAGAGTGTAGTTAAGGATTTAATTTGAAACGCTTGTTCTTCACCACTAAATTGGCGAATCCTGCTAGAAATTTTAAAATTGTTCATGACTGTGTGGAGCTACATGTCGGAGGTTTTACTCAGGTGCCCGCTCGTGCGTGACTGATATAATTCATGGAGAGGGACCCATGGGATTCTTTCAACAGTGAAGCTGGAAAATCGCCATATGACCTCTACTGTGTTTGTACGACATAAAATCTATCCCTCACACACATAAAAATAATTATATGTACATTACACAGATGATCTTTGCATGACCGCATGCAAGTTATACTTGGTGATTGTATGACATATCTTTAAATTCATCCAAGTATCTGAGGATGCATTCAAAGTCATTTGACAGTGCTGTTTTGTTAATGAAACTTACTTTTGTCAATGCAGTAAGCTATGTATGTGATACCCAGGGTCCTGCTGTATAAACAGAAACAACGGGGCATGCTAACATGATTTTATCCGTTATTGCATATTTTCGTCTCTGTATGCATGCGCGTGTGCAGTTTTTATGCGAGAATTATGTTCGTAGCATTATTCTTGACTCCCCCCCCAAAAAAAAAGAAAGAAACGCACAACATCATGTCAACATTCTTTTTTAAATTCTCGAGAAATCATGACTTATTAGTATTGAAAACGAAACAATGGTTTGAGCAAGATAGAGAAAACCTATTTTATCAGAATATTATTATACAGCAATTGATTAACAACGATTTTGTCTTTATATTTTCATTCTATTTCTTTTTAATATAATGTTATGTGATTAGGTATAATATAATTAATATAACTTGTAATGCCCCTATATTACATAAGGCTCGTTACAAATATGTTTATAATATACAGTTTTAAAAGTTTATGTGATATAACAATTGTTTAAACATACTTTAAAGTGTCTTCCCTTTTAGATGGTGGATGGTCAAGTTGGGAAAGATGGGGTTCATGTAGTGTCAGTTGTGATGGTGGTATTCAAAGTCGGCTAAGAACATGTTCTAACCCAAGACCATCTTTATTAGGAAAATATTGTGATGGAAGTCCAGACGAGACAAGAACTTGCAACAAAAATCAGTGTGCAGGTATATTATAATCTTTACTCACGAAAACGGGGAATAAGTGTTGGTCGGAAAAAATCGAGTGTCCATTATTTAAAATGTAAAAGATCTTTCATAAGATATATAATTTTTCAACGAGTTAAAGAAAGTGTTTTAATTAGAGCCTCTTGCGAACTTTATAACATTTACTTTAGCGAGTTTGATATTTCAATTATGACAAATGTAAAATTTATTGATCACATGCCCAAATCAATTGAAATAATTTTGTATTGATTGACGTTTTCCTTATTGAATATATAGGTGAAAAAAGACAAACCCGTGTCGATTTTTCGAATCTATGAAAAGAGTATTGTACGGTCTTGCATATATTGTGACATAACGTAATTTGTATTATACAAGCATATTTTAAAGACGCTTTGTTCTATAGACGCGCCGATGAAAAAATATTCTTTTTTCACATTTAACAGTCTTTTGATATGTAGAATATTACATTGATGAAAGTGCATTACTGAATTTATTGAACTCGTTGAGCCCAAAAAAAATATAATTCTCGCAAGAGTTTCGCATAATATAATTTTATTCAACTCGTCTAATAAATTCAGTATGAACTTACACTCATTCAATATCAAACATACTGTATATTACACACCTGTAACCTTAAGGTTATATTTTGTTTATTCTGGTGTCAGGTAAGATTTTGTTTCATCTTGAGAAATTTAAAAACAGAAGTCTTCAGAGTGACGTAAAGTCTTTTTACCCACTGGGTGTCACAATTTCAGGCGATTTTCTCATGAAGACATTGGAACTGGGTGCTTAAAAACAATTTCAAAAACTGAATGTTAGATGAAAATATGATTTATCTTGAATGATTAAATAAATAAAACAAACAATTCTAGAAAATGAAGAATTTACAAAATGGCGTTAAACAGTGAGATCAAGAGTAGTAATTTATTCAAACTGTCTCTAGTGACAGATTGTCCGCCCATTTGTGAATTTTATTAAGTGTTTCTAGACTTAAAAAACAAAACAAAAAACAACGGATATTTCTTTCCAACTAGGCCATTTTGTTCATTAAAGTGACATGTTAAATTAGATATAAAAAGTATTTTGATGTTTCAACAATTTCCTTAAATCTATATCCTGTTTTTGTGTTGTATAGCAAAATCTTATTGTAAGCAAATGGTTTATAAATTTTTACAAAAAATAATATAATGTTAACCTAATGTATTGTACTTTAGTCTTGTTTTTTGAATGCTCTTCCTATAGGAATCTGCAGATCTATTGGTTTATGTTGAATTGTTTTTGTCACAGATTGAATATGAATATGGTTTTATAATAATGGATATCACATTTGAATACATACTTTATCTCATTATAATGTTGCGGCTAAAATCACTAAAAGTCTCAAAAAGTATATACAAATAAAATATATTCGCGTGTTAGTAATTTTTCAAATAAGATGATTGTTCATCGAGTATTGGCAGGGTTGCTCTGATGTCAAGCCGTATTATGGTATGGCAATGTCGGGCAGCAGGCAGGCTTGGCAGGCGGACGGGCGGGGAAATATGTTCGTAACTGTTACCTCAGCAATTACTTATTACAGCCTCTTGGTATTTGGCATAGAGCATTGACACATGGACCCATACCGTGGGATTTGATTTCAGACCAGCAGCTCATTCACTTCTTGTTTACCCACTTTGTTAAATTTTCAACATTAATGGTTAATGGTAGGAAATTTTGTAACAGTTTTCTCAGCAACTACTTATAACAGCCTCTTGATATTTGGCATACAGCATTGACACATAGTCCCATACCGTGGGTTTCGGTTTCAGGTGTGCATCTCATCCACTTCCTGTTTACCCACTTAGTTAAATTTTCGACATTTTTGGTGAATGGTAGGAAAGTTTCGTAACAGTTTACTCAACAACTACATATCACAGCTTCTTGATATTTCGCAAACTATGAGGTTTGATTTCTGGTCTGTAGCTCATTCACTTCTTGTTAACCCACTTAGTTAATTTTTTGACATTTATGGTCAATGGTAGGAAATTTTCGTAACATTTTTTCAGCAACTACTTCTTACAGCCTCTTGATATTTGGCATACAGCATTGACGCATTGACACATGGGCCCATACCGTTGGATTCGATTTCAGGTCTGCAGCTTATCCACTTCCTGTGTACCCACATAGTTAAGTTTTCGATATTTATGGTCAATGGTAGGAAACTTTCGTAACAGTTTTCTCAGCAACTACATATCACAGCCTCTATCAATAGATTAGGAATACAGCATTGACACATGGTCCAATACCGTGGGATTCGATTTGAGGTGTGTAGCTCATCCTCTTCCTGTTTACAAACAATTAAATTTTCGACATTAATGGTTAATGGTAAATTTTATTCGTAACATCACAGCCTCATGGTATTTGGTGTACAAATGCAACCCGGCCGTTTCTGTCTTTGACCCATTATTTACATATAATTCGGTGCATTTTATTTATATTCAGAAACAATCATTTTCATGAAACATGTGTTGTACCTTGTGTGGTTGTATCTTTTCTCACAAAGCAAGTCAATCAGAAACCTATGGCTGTACCTTGTTTATTGTACAATGATAAACTGCATAAAACACTATATTGTCCAATACAAATTATCCTTCATTTTATAATATACATGATAGGATAAAGAGAGTAGTTAAGGATTAAATTTGAAACGCTTGTTCCTCGCCACTTAATGTGCGAATCCCGCTAGAAATTTTGAAATCGTTCATGACTGTGTGGAGCTACATGTCGGAGGTTTTACTCAGGTGCCCTCTCGTGCGTGACTGATATAATTCACGGAGAGGGACCTATGGGATTCTTTCAACAGTGAAGCTGGAAAGTCGCCATATGACCTCTACTGTGTTGGTACGACATAAATCCTATCCCTCACACACATAAAAATAATTATATGTACATTACACAGATGATCTTTGCATGACCGCACGCAAGTTCTACTTGGTGATTGTATGACATATCTTTAAATTCGACCAAGTAATTGAGGACGCATTCAAAGTCATTTGACAGTGCTGTTTAGTTAATGAAACTTACTTTTGTCAATGCAGTAAGCTATGTATATGATACCCAGGGTCCTGCTGTATAAACAGAAACAACGGCGCATGATAACGTGATTTTATCCGTTATTGCATATTTTCGTCTCTGTATGCATGCACGTGTGCAGTTTTTTATGCAAGAATTATTTTCGTAGCATTATTCTTGACTCGCAAAAAAAATGAAAGAAACGCACAACATCATGTCAACATTCTTTTTTAAATTCTCGAGAAATCATGACTTATAAGTACTGAAGACGAAACAATGGTTTGAGCAAGATAGAGAAAACCTATTTTATCTGAATATTATTATACAGCAATTGATGAAAAACGATTTTGTCTTTATATTTTCATTCTATTTCTTTTCAATATAATATTATGTGATTAGGTCTAATATAATTAATACTAATCTACAACTTGTAATGCCTCTATATTACATAAGGCTCGTTACAAATGTGCTTATAATATACAGTTATAAAAGTTTATGTGATATAACAACTGTTTTAACATACGTTAAAGTGTCTTTCCTTTTAGATGGTGAATGGTCAAGTTGGGAAAGTTGGGGTTCATGTAGTGTCAGTTGTGATGGTGGTATTCAAAGTCGGCTAAGAACATGTTCTAACCCAAGACCATCTTTATTAGGAAAATATTGTGATGGAAGTCCGGACGAGACAAGAACTTGCAACAAAAATCAGTGTGCAGGTATATTATATTCTATATTGCATTATACAAGCATAGTTTAAAGACGCCTTGTTCTTTAGACGCGACGATAAAAAAAAATCTTTTTTTCACATTTAACAGTCGTTTTGGTATATATAGAATATTACATTGATGAAGGTGCATCACTGTATTTATTGAACTCGTTGAACAAAAACAAAAATATTCTCGCAAGAGTCACGCATAATATAATTTATTCAACTCTTCCAATAAACTCAGTATGAACTATCACTCATTCAATATCAAACGTACTGTATATTACACACTTGTAACTTTAAAGGGTATATTTTGTTTATTCTGTTGTCAGGGACAATTTTGTTTCATCTACAGAAATTAATTTACAAAATGGCGTTAAACTGTGAGATTGAGCGTAGTATTTTATTCAAACTATCTCTAGTGACAGATTGTCCGCCCATTTGTGAATTTTATTAGGTGTTTCTAGACTTAAACAAAAACAACAACAAAAAAACGGATAGTGCTTTCCAAACTATTCTAGGCCCTTATGTTCATTATAATGACATATTAAATTAGATATAAAGAAATGTTTTGATGTTTCAAAAATTTCTTTAAATCTATATCCTGTTTTTTGTGTTGTGTAAAATATCTCATTGTAAGCAATTTATTTATAAATTTTACCAAAAATAAATATAATGCTTACCAAATGTACTGTAATCTTGTTTTTTCAATGCTCTACCTGTAGGAATCTGCAGATCTATTGGTTTATGTTGAATTGTTTTTGTCACAGATTGGATATGAAATATGGTTTTATAATAATGGATATCATATTGGAATACATACTTTATCTCATTATAATGATGTGGCTAAAGTCATTAAAAGTCTAAAAAAGTACATATAAATAAAATATATTCGCATGTTAGTAATTTTTCAAATAAGATGATTGTTCATCGAGTATTGGCTGGGCTGCTCTGGTGCACATCCGGGTTATAGTATGGTGAATGTCGGACAGCAGGCGGGCTTGGCAGGCTGGCGGGCGGGGAAATATTTTCGGAACTGTTACTACTTATTACAGCCTCTTGATATTTAGCATACAGCATTAACTCATAGTCCCATACCGTGGGATTTGATTTCAGATCTGAAGCTCATCCACTTCTTGTTTACCCACTTAGTTTATTTTTCGATATTAATGGTCAATGCTAGGAAATTTTCGTATCGGTTTTCTCAGCAACTACATACCGCAGCCTCTTGATATTTGCCATACAGTATTTACAGATTGTCCCATACTTTGGGATTCGATTTCAGATCTGCAGCTTATCAACTTCAACTTTACTCAATTAGTTAAATTTTCAACATTAATGGTTAATGGTAGGAAATTTTGTAACAGTTTTCTCAGCAACTACTTATAACAGCCTCTTGATATTTGACATACAGCATTGACACATGGTCCCATACCGTGGGATTTGATTTCAGATCTGCAGCTCATCCATTTCTTGTTTACCCACTTAGTTAAATTTTCGATATTGATGGTCAATGCTAGGAAATTTGTTCCTCGCTACTAAATGTCCGAATCCCGCTAGAAATTTTGAAATCCTTCATGACTGTGTGGAAGCTACATGTCGGAGGTTTTACTCAGGTGTCCGTTCGTAATTCACTGAGGGGGCAAATGGGATTCTTTCATCAGTGAAGCTGGAAAGTCGTCATATGACCTCTACTGTGTTGGTACGACATAGAACCCATCCCTCACACACATAAAAGTAATTATATGTACATTTCACAGATGAGATTTGCATGACCGCATGCAAGTTATACTTGGTGATTGTATGACACATCTTTAAATTCAACCTAGTATATAGGGACGCATTCAAAGTCATTTGACAGTGCTGGTTTGTTAATGAAACTTACTTTTGTCATTGCAGTAAGCTATGTATATGATACCCAGGGGCTTGCTGTATAAACGGAAACAACGGCGCATGTTCACGTGATTTTATCAGTTATTGCATATTTTTGTCTCTGTATACATGCACGTGCGCAATATTATCTGCAAGAATTATGTTCCCAGCATTTTTCTTGACTCACTAAAAAAGAAAAAAAAGCAAAACAGAAACGCACTACATCATGTCAACATTCTTTTTTAAATTCTCGAGAAATCATGACTTATTAGTATTGAAGACGAAACAATGGTTTGAGCAAGATAGAGAAAACCTTTTTAATCAGAATATTATTAAACAGCAATTTATAAAAAAACGATTTTGTCATTATATTTTCATTCCATTCTATTTCTTTTTAATATCATATTATGTGATTAGGTCTAATATAATTAAGTCTAATCTACAACTTGTAATGCCCCTATTTTACATACGGCTCGTTACAAATTTGTTTCTAATTTACAGTTATAAAAGTTTAATGATATAACAACTGATTTAACATATTTTAAAGTGTCTTTCCCTTTTAGATGGTGAATGGTCAAGTTGGGAAAACTGGGGTTCATGTAGTGTCAGTTGTGATGGTGGTATTCAAAGTCGGCTAAGAACATGTTCTAACCCAAGACCATCTTTACTAGGAAGATATTGTGATGGAAATCCGGACGAGACAAGAACTTGCAACAAAAATCAGTGTGCAGGTATATTATATTCTTTACTCACGAAAACGGAGAAGTGTTGGTCGGAAAAAAATCGAGTGTCTATTATTTAAAATGTTAATGTTGGATTCGATTTCAGGTCTGCAGCTAATCCACTTCCTGTTTACCAACTTAGTTAAATTTTCGACATTGATGGTCAATGGTAGGAAACTATCGTAACAGTTTTCTCAGCAACTACATATCACAGCCTCTTGATATTAGGAATACAGCATTGACACATGGTCCCATACCGTAGGATTCGATTTCAGTTGTATACATCATCCTGTTCCTGTTTACCCACAGTTAAATTTTCGACAATAATGGTTAATGGTAAATTTTATTTGTAACATCACAGCTTCATGGTATTTGGTGTACCAATGCAACCCGGCCTTTTCTGTCTTTGACCCATTTTTGCATATAATTCGGTGCATTTAATTTATATTCAAAAACAATCATTTTCATGAAACATGTGTTGTACCTTGTGTGGTTGTACTTTTTCTCACAAAGCAAGTTAATCAGAAACCTTTGTCTATACCTTATTGATTGGATAATGATAAACTGCACAAAACACTAAATTGTCAAATACAAATTATCCTTCATTTTATAATATACAAGAAAGGATAAAGAGAATAGTAAAGGATTTAATTTTAAACGCTTGCTCCTCGCAACTAAATGTTCGAATCACGCTAGGGTTTTTGGAATCCTTCTTGACTGTGTGGAAGCTACATGTCGGAGGTTTTACTCAGGTTCCCGCTCGGGCCTGACTGATATAATTCACGGAGGGGGATCCAGGGGATTCTTTCAACACTGAAGCTGGAAAGTCACCATATGACCTCTACTGTGTTGGTACGACATAAAACCCATCACTCGCCCCCATATAAATAATTTTATGTACATTACACAGATGATCTTTGTATGACTGCATGCAAGTTATAATTGGTGATTATACGACACATGTTTAAATTCGACTGAGTATATAGGGACGCATTCAAAGTCATTTGACAGTGCTGGTTTGTTAATGAAACTTACTTTTGTCAATGCAGTAATCTATGTATATGATACACAGGGTCCTGCTGAATAAACGGAAACAACGGCGCAGCTTACGTGATTTTATCCATTATTGCATATTTTCGTCTCTGTATACATGCGTTTGCGCATTTTTTTTATGCAAGAATTATGTTTCTAGCATTATTCTTGCCTCACCAAAAAAAAGAAAAAAAAAACGCACAACATCATGTCAACATTATTTTTTTTGATTCTCGAGAAATCATGAGTTATGAGTATTGAAAAAAAACAATGGTTTGAGCAAGATAGAGAAAACCTATTTTATCACAATATTATTATACAGCAATTGATGAAAAACGATGTTGTCATTATATTTTCATTCTACTTCTTTTTAATATAATATTATGTGATTAGGTCTTATATAATAAATACTAATCTACAACTTGTAATGCCCCTATATTACATAAGGCTCGTTACAAAAACGTTTATAATATACAGTTATAAAAATCTATGTGATATAAAAACTGTTGAACATACTTGAAGGTGTCTTCTCTTTTAGATGGTGAATGGTCAAGTTGGGAAAACTGGGGTTCATGTAGTGTCAGTTGTGATGGTGGTATTCAAAGTCGGCTAAGAACATGTTCTAACCCAAGACCATCTTTATTAGGAAGATATTGTGACGGAAGTCCGGAAGAGACAAGAACTTGTAACAAACGCCAGTGTGAAGGTATATGATTCAATCGGTCCACTTAGCACTGAAATGAAATTGTTTACACATGTACAAATTTATCACTTTAAGCAAATTTCAGCCAAATCCCTCATGCACTTGATTAATTCATAGAAGTACATCCGACCCTGTTTTGTATCCTTATCTCTATAAATGCGGTAACTTTATTTATCACACACCTATGCCGATTTTGCACTCCGTAAAAATGGTATTGCACAATCGTGCATATATTTTGATGTGACGTTGTTTACGTTATGCAAACATAGTGTAAAAACGCGTATTATGTATACTGAATGCGCGTCACTTTAAACATTATTTATTTTTGGTATGTGATAAATAGAATATTAAATTCTTGTAAGTTCATTGCTGAATTTATTGAACTCGTTGAATAAATAATATCATGCTCGCCAAAGGCTCGCATAATATAATTTTATTCAACTCGTTCAATAAATTCAGTTTTGAACTTACAAACATTCAATATTGAATAAATAGTAGTAAAATATTTGTAAAAAACGTTATACTACATGTACTACGAGTTGTCTTCTCGCATGTCCAATGATTACGGTGTTTTCGGTGAATTATCTCAGCTCAAAGTGTTGATAGTACCAATTTTCCCTACTTTTTGCTATTGAGTTTGTGCAAATACAAGACATAAGCATGTCACCTACCGATTAAAAAACTTATTCCTTATCTTATAGATTTCTTGTATTTATTAGGCCTAAAAGTCGTTCGCATAGACATGATTTTGTATTTTACTAAATTTTTTCATATTTTAGAAAATAACTGTGATCAGTTTGGCAAGCAAAATGTAATTATAAACGTTCACTCTAATATATTTTTGCTTAAAAAGAAAAGTTTTTAAAGCAATGGTAATGTTGGTATGTGAGACCTTTACGTTTCATATCTCCAAAGGTTGGAATATTCCTTGTCCGTTAGGTTCAGAAGATGATTATGCTCATCTTGACAAGTTTTATCCCTAAATAAAGTTTTATTTTCGGGTAAGATCCATAAGTGTGTCAACTGCAGAGGATTTAAAAGTACTTGGAGAAAATGTTAATCATTTTTTGTCAATAAATTGTATGCGCCATTTAGGATTATAACTGAAAAGCCAGGGTCACGCCTAGCTATTTAAGGGTAAAAGTTGTGACTATAATTGTGATGCACTCAACGATTTTTGTCTCCATTGAGCTTTTAATCATTGTGAGAAAAACGCTTGCAAAGTCACGCAATTTTTCATGATTTGATTTTTATGTTTTGCATTCAAATTGAGTTTAGCATAGAAATAAACCAGAAAGGAAATCGAAAATACCTTTTGAACAGCCCTTCTCAGCAGCTTTACACATGCACAGCGTTCCCCAGAAAACTATATTTAGAAACTATAAATGCACTCTGTAAAGTCAGGAATCTGATCAGCGCGTATTTTTTACACATGAAGAAGTGAACTTAACTTCACGTCAGTTCTATAATATTGCAAAGTTGGAGGTAAGGTCATTTTTTCATGCTGTTTTGTTTATTTTCTGTTCTGATACTTTATATGAACAGTGTATTTATATCCCCCTTTCAAAGAAGTGGGGTGTATTGCTTTGCAGTTGTCAGTCGATCGGTCGGTTGATAGGTCGGTCCGTCCGTCCGTCCGTAGACCAAATGGTTTTAGATCAATAACCAAAGAACGCTGAAGCCTTAGAATTTAATACTTAGTATTGAGATTGTTTATTACCAGTAGACGACCCCTATTGATTTTTGAGTCAAAGAGTCAAAGGTCAAGATCCCATGACCCTGTAGGTAAAATCGACCCATGGACTGTTGGCCCTTTAATTTCGTAGGTGCATTTATCTTGGGATGGAAATGAACCCTATTGATTTTGGGGTCATAGGTCAAAGGTCAAGGTCGTATTGACCTTGTATGTTAAAACGGTTTATGATCAATATCTCGACAACCCATTGGCCTTTGGCCCTCAAACTGCATAGGTGCATTGGTTTGGCCAGTAAATGACCCCTACTGATATTGGGATAAAGGGGTCAAAGATGATTGTCATATTGACCTTGAAAGTAAAAACCGTTTTCAATCAATAACTTGACAACCCATAGACTGTTAGCCCTCAAATTTCGTAGGTGCATTTATCTTGGCAAGCAAATGAACCCTATTTATTTGGAAGTCAAGGGTCAAGGTCACATTGACTTTGTAAGTTACCGTTTCCGATCAGTAATTTGACAACTCATGTGATGTTGGTCCCAAAACTTCATTATTGCATTGGTCTAGGCCAGTAGATGACCCCTATTGATTTTTGGGTCAAACGGTCAAAGGTCCAGGTCATATTGACCTTGTAGGCAAAAACTGTATCAGATCAATTACATGACAAACCATACGCCCTTGGCCATCAAACTGCATAGGTGTATTGGATGATCCTTACTTATCTTGTGGTCAAGGGGTCAAAGGTCAAGGGTATATTGACCCTGTAGGTTAAAACCGTTTCCGATCAATAACTTGACAACCCATAAACCATTGGCCTTCAAACTGCATATGTACAGTGGCCTTGGCCAGTAGATGACCCCTATTGATTTTGGGGTCAAAAGGTTAAAGGTCAAAGTCATATTGACCTTGTAGTCAAAACTGTATCCAATCAATAACTTGACAACCCATACGCCCTTGGCCTTCAAACTGCATAGTTGCATGGGCCTTGGCAAGTAGATGACCATTATTGATTTTAGGGGAAACGGGTCAAAGGTCATAGTGACCTTGTAGGTAAAAACGGTTTCTGATCAATAACTTGACAACCCATGGGTTTTTGCCCTCAATGCAATTTGCATTGGTGTATTGGTCTTGGCCAAAAAATTGATTTTTGGGTTAGGGAGTCAAACTTCACAAATGCACTGCTTTTGGTGAGGAGAAAACCTCAATGGATTTTTGGGGTCAAGGGCTCAGAAGTCAAGACCGCATTGACCTTTTAGGTAAAAGAGTTTCTGATCAATATCTCCACAAGTCATGGGCCCTTAACCTTCAAACTTCACAGGTGCATTGGTCTTAACCAGTTGGTAATCCTATTAATTTAAGGGTATTAGGTTAATGTCACATTGACATTGTACTTAAAAACGGATTCCGACCAATAACTCAACAACTTAAGTTGCCTTGGCTAATATTTTTCATCAATCTAAAAACACTTTTGGTATACACATTTCAAGGTCTAATATAATATAACAAATTGGCTGTCATTATGGAGGTCTGTATGTACATGTTTCATAAAATTACTGCATATATTACTTGGTAAGATTTGTCATTACTTTGTCATAAAATTGCTGCACACAACCTTTACGGTCAAAATCAGTTCTAATGAAATATTTGATACCGCTGCCATAATGATGAAATATTTTTTGTTATAATTTTATATCACCCACCATGCTGTGAGGATTCTCGTTTTATAAATAAATTTAAAAAATAGATAATGCCCGGCAGGTTTTAGTTTTATTTTCTAATATCACAAGGAAATGTACTGGTAAGTGTTTTCATGGCCAGTAGATGACCCCTATTGATTTTGGGGTCAAAGGGTCAAAGGTTCAGGTCATATTGACCTTAAAGGCAAAAACTGTATCAGATCAATTACTTGACAACCCATACGCCCTTGGCCTTAAAACTGCATAGGTGTATTGGTTTTGGCTAGTAGATGACCCCTACTGATATTGGGGATCAAGGGGTCAAAGGTCAAGTGCATATTGACAACTTGATAACCCATTGCCATGTAGTATATTGTACCAGGATATTTCTATCGTTTATAATGAAGTACCCTTTTTGCTGATGAAACATTTTTCAATTTTTACAATTCATGAGAACTGATTGATATTTTTTTAAAGAAATAGATAATTTATTATGTTTGTATACATGTGTAAATAATCATCATGAATTTACCATTCTTAACTATTTCTTTCAAATAAGGGTGATGATAAGTTTCCTGAATTGTAGCTCAACACAAATGTTTTTATATATATATGATTTAGATTCAAATTATTTCAATTATGTTAAAGATAAATGTTACTGCTACACGATGATAATGTAAACCAATATATTACAAAAGAACTTACATGAAGAACCTAATACGAGTACATGTGCAGTATGATACAACAATTTACTTGTAGTATATTTCTGTTCAGTCAAATCATCATATACAATGTATTGTTTTTTTAAGACTTATTCGGAGTTTTATTATTTCAGGATGGCCTGTGAGAAATTGATGATTTGCAGATATATAACCGTAATCCAAAAGTGTCTTAGATTTATCTTTTCATAAAATTTATGTCTTTACAAAGAAACCCTGCTGAAAACAGTATCCCTGAAAATGCTGAATAGTGCAGTGACAGATGCAACAGTATTTTTTTTAGTTGATTGTGAAACAAGTTTTTGTAAGTTTACCAGTCACTTTTATTTACAAAACCTGAGTGCATGTGAGAAAACATGACTGTTGTTATCCTGTTTGGCCCAAACTCACAAACTGCGATGAGAAGTTTGCAAGACAGCAGTGAGGAGTTAGCTGTCATTTGTGACATTCAATGTGTTTGCAAGAATCTTTTGTTTCAATTTTTTACAAAGATTATTTCAATTAAAGAATATACTAATGTTATTCATAGGTACAGTTTGAATAATACTGAGTACACAGTCGATATCTGTAACTCAAAAAATATTAAAGGAAACACTGCAAGCTCTTAATATTTTTTTTGTAATCTAAGTAATGCTTGTAAATACTATTATTATATAGATATAATTATTCAATTATTTGTTTGTGGAATAGTTCAATTAAATACCATTATTTAAAATTATTTAATGTTTTCTTTATTACTTTTGTTACCATAGCAACCAAAGCTACGGTTTTTTGTAATCAGTGTAATAAAGAATGTCTGTTTTGCCTTGTATTAATTATTTGATGCTAAAGCTATGTGTTTAAAAATTGAATTAGTTAGATTACGATATTTTACTTAACCTTCTAAAATTCCGAGAATTTTAGCCTTTTATCTGTAATTTAAAGCATTTTAAGGAAAGAATGGAAAACGTCTTAAAGGTCTTAAATCTTGCTGATTTTGAAGAGGATATACATCAATTTGGTGATGAATTTCTCGTTTAAAGTGCATGCAAGAATGGTGTTTTAAAAGTACTTATACCTTTTTTTGTTGCTATGAACACAGATTATTGAAAGAATCAAAGTTTTTATATCAAGTTATTATAATTATATTTCACACAAGTATGAATGATAAGTTTATATTTTTGGTTATTTTATTGTGCATAATTATGGGGGAAAATCGTGCCCTTCAGTAGATGTTAGTGCATCGAATATTGTGCATAAACGCTATTCTTGCATTAAGTACGAGATAACTTTGATAATTCTAAATTTTGTCCTTATGGTTTTCGGATAAGGAAACCATTTTGACATGTTTTTAACAAGCTAGTGCGATGTTATTTGACAGTTATGTTTAAATAATGAAACTTACGTTTGTCAATGCAGTAAGTTATATACGTGCAGTTTGTTATGAAATACTTTCTTAGCATTATTCCTGCCTTAACAAAAAAGAAAGAAGCGCACAACAACATGTCAACAATGTTTGTTTTTTCAACCTTGCTCCAGAAATCATAGCTTATTCGTATTGAAAACGGAACAACGGGTTAAGCAAGTTAGAGAAACCCGATTTTATGAGACAATTATTATACAGCAATTAATGAAATTGATAATGCAAACAATATTTATAGACAATTTGTACAATCATTTTTTACTATTTTTTTTTCATTATATTTCTTTTTGGTCTAATATTGCGATAAGATCTAATACTTAGGCCTATGTGCGATTTAGGTTTGGAGTGATATAATATTATGTGGATATATTAACTGCCAATATTGTATGTCACCCGAGCCTAATATTTTATCTAAGAAGGTAATATATCCACATACTATGTATATCACTCCAAAACCAAAATAATAATTTTATTGCCCTTCCACTGCCGAGTAAGACGATTTTAAAATAAATCAATGAAACGTCGAAATAAGATTCCCAGTAGGGTACCCCTTCATCACAAAATGACGTCACATAAATACATGACGTGTTTGCTTTCGTACCTAACGAATACAAACAAACAAAAAGAAGTTGTCTGTTGAAGAAACTTTTTTGTACATAATATCAAGCTTTGACGTGGTCATAATTTCTTTAAATACTGATTAGAATATTTATCATTACTCTATTTTGGTCAATATTTTTTTATTTGACAGTTAAAAAGTGATTGTATATCGGAATTTACACTGCGCAACATCGAACAGTACATGCATCGTCACAGTGCATGTTGTTTAAAACGTGAGGTACCAAAAGGCGAACTTGGATTTAACTAAATACAGGATTTGAGCAGCACATGTAGACGCTTGCAGAAATCATTATCAGAAAATAGACAAATATCGTTTTTTTTCGCCGATTTTCAAGTTTTTCATTCATTATCATACATAAATGTGAAAAGATGAATTAGACATTTTAAAGTTCATTCCGTTGGGTTAAAAAGCAAGATTTTAGCATTTTATCATTAAAGCGCCGTGTCCGGTATATACCGGAATACGGTATTTAGTTTAATGCTCCAATCCTTTTTTAGTCTCACTCGGCGAACTTTAATGTGTATATTACCTGTCTGGATCGGTAATATAAATTTCTTTCGGTTGATCAATATCCAATCAAAATGGGGGAAGGGAAATCTAGAAGAGGGGTAATAAAATTTTACTATCGACAAACTCCTATAAACTAACAATGCCCCTAAATGAAAAAAGGCTCGTTAACATTGTTTAAAATATACACTAATAAAAGTATATAGATATGATATAGCCATTCCTTCAAGATACATAAAGTGGTTTTCCTTTTAGATGGTGGATGGTCAAGTTGGCAAAGATGGGGTTCATGTAGTGTCAGTTGTGGAGGTGGAATTCAAAGTCGGCTAAGAGCATGTTCTAACCCAAGACCATCTTTATTAGGAAGATATTGTAACGGAAGTCCGGACGAAACAAGAACTTGTAACAAACGCCAGTGTGCAGGTATATGATTAATAAACTCAACTACGCACTGAATCAAACGCACAAATTTATCAGTTTGTGCAAATTACAATCGAATCCCTCACACACTTTTTATTAATTTATATGAATACATCTGACATTCGTGAAAATAAGGTCTTATGTCCCTATCCGCATTAAAGAAGAAACGATTTCTATGCATATTTAAATAGGTTAAGAAAGCTCAGATTAGGCTACTAAGATGGACGATGAGAAACATCTCAGCGCAAAATAGGCATTAAAACATTTTCTTTTTAAGTGGAAATGTTTTCTCATTGACCTCCGCCTAAATCACAAAAGAAAAATTTGAGATTTCAAAGTAAACTTATATCGTATTTTGATATATGCTTATAAACTTGAATCTTTATTTAAATTTTATCTTGTTTTTTATTTCTGTTTATTTTATTATTTTTTTTGTTCTAATGATAAAACAATCGATAAACATATTAAAACGTCATGACAACTGATCGATAACTGAAACGTAATTATTGTTTTCTGTTTCGAAATTGGTAAATTATAAAAAAAAAATTTCGTGATTTGTTCATGACTCTATCAATGATTTTCATCAACAAACTCCGACAGACCGGAATGGAAATTTAACTTCATCAATACGACTTAACGAACTGACGGATTGAACTTTGTGATTTCGCGACTTCTGTATATCAAATTAAAGAATTCACGATATAAGCTTTAAGAATTCATCGGTTTCAGTATAAATCAACTTCTCGTACAAAAAATAACAAACACGTGATTTTAACTTCAGAAATTTAATTTTACGAATAAATCTTAACGTAACATTTTTGTCTTTACTAAGTCATCTTCTTAAAATCATAATTGCATATAAACTGTCATGAATAGATGTATTTTGAAACGTAAGTTCGTGAATTTATGTAGATGAAACGTGATAAGCTAAAGTCGTGAAAATATAAAAATGAAATTGTTTAAATCTAAAAATCGTGATATCATGAAAGCGAAACGATAAATTCGTGAAGAGGAATTATGTTTTCAAGTGTACATATTTTTTTCTAGTCTTGCGTAACAAACAGACTTTATGGGGATTGAATTTGTCCACAGAGTTTATGCTTGAAAAGTTGTCTCAGATATATTTATAAAATTTGAACAAAATTCTATTCTATGAAGTAAGGATAGTTAAAGGCACATTAACTAGATGCAGCTCATTGCAATATTTTTCAAACATTGGTTCTAACGGAAATACAATTACAAATACACAAACACCCTTATTGATTTTGATTTTTATCGTTCAAAGAAATCTTTGTCATTCTTTTACTGGCTATAACAGTCAATGCTTTTGATATTTTTAAGAAATAATATCGGTTTGAGTGGTGTTTATTGGCTTTTTAACACTGGTTTTGATATTGACGCGTTAATTTTTTTTCGGATCAAAGCGTCAAGCCGGTATTAATAATAATCGTGCGACGTTTATGTAATCTATATGTGTATATTGTTTGGCAATATTACCCTGAGATATTTGAATATTTAATGACCTTTTGTTGGTAATTAACGGATTCCCCTGAAAATCTTGAGGATTCTAAAGTATTGCATAACGGTAAACATGGTTTATGTTTAACTACAACAAGTACTTGCTGAAATACCCTCTGTGTTGTGACAAGTAGTAAAGACTCTAAGTGTCAGTTTTCAATCTGAAGGTATAGCAAGGTCGAATCTAATTTTATATTTCCTTTTATTTATTTTTTGAAATTAATTACTATTATTTTGTGCATGCCAAACATTGTATGACATTACATATTTTGTTATATAAATGTATTGATTTTTAAAATGGACTATTTAATCAAACCTAAAGTTGATCTCTTTTCTTACTTATAAATTCTATTTGCACATTTTTCAAAACAATAATTAAGATATATCAAGCTCGTGATCGCAAGGGCGGGAGGGGTCGTTCTTAAAATATCAACTTTTCCTTGTCTTTGAATGGCAAGCTTGGTCTCAAAGCTATAAAGCATCTTATGTGTATTTGTAAAAAGCCCCTAATTATATTATTTTATACTTTTACTTTAGCTAACTCGGAAATGTTAATGAACTTTCTGCTACATTTCTATGCAGAAAGATAATCTTTTGCCCTATGCAGACAGCGCATGCGCGTGAACATACTACATCCGGTCTTTTTTCATAGCAACGTTCGCGTCGTAAAAAGGTCTTTACAAGTTCTACATTCGATAACAAGGATATAAAGCCTTTTAAGCAACCTTCAAAAACGAATTTTATTGATATTTACCGTTTTTTTTATGGTATTTTTTCCGTATGATTCAAAATCACAAACGCCATGGGTTTTATCCATATCAGATGATAGAATCTACGGCAATTTGTAAGCAGCGTTGTGACGTCGCTTATTCATAAAGGCGCCATTTTCAACTGACATTGGTGGGGAATGAAAATATTGATCTATCGAGCACCGATATAATCACAATATAATCCAGTCTGACACGTATGTTTAAGTTGTTCAAAAAATAATGAAATAATTATTGAAAAATAAGGTGTTCTATTTTTTATAATCTATTGTGTTTAATATTTGGACAGGAGATTTTTTGGCACAAGGGAGCAGCGGAGTCCAAACTTTTAATTTACAAATATTGCAATAATTTTAAAGCAATTTAGGCATTGTTTAAGTAAATGTCGAAAATACACATAGTTCTTGAAGAAATTTAACAAGAAAACGATATTATTTGATTATAACATAATAAATGACTTTTTGAAATAAAACATGTTTTATTTCAATGAAAAAAATGAAAATTTGAAATTCTAAAGGATTATGTGCCAGCAAAATTATTTTATTCTCGGCGCAACGGAGAAATATTGTTGTATAACGGACACATGTTATGTTTATAATTAATTTACCATTTAGATAAACGCTCATGAATAATTATATTATCTGTATCATAAAAAACATTAAAATCGAAAATATAATATTGAAGTTTATTTATGAAATAAATTGTTTTTATTATGATACTACATCTAATATAATAGTATAGTTGCTGCAGTATTATATATAATAATTGTATCCAAACAAAGTGGCGGCATGGCCGAGTGGTGAACGCGTCCGACTAGTAATCTAATGATCGGTAGCCTCATGGGGCAAGCCGTTGTTTCCTTGAGCAAGAAACTTTACACTCATTGCTCAGTACTGGTTGGTTCCAGGAACGGATTCGAAAGTGTGTCGATAAGCTTAAAGCTTCCTACACAATCGAACTAAAATGAATTCCGTTTATATAAACCAATAATTGTATTATACACTGGCTTCAAAAAAAGTTAATTGTCTGTTGCGTCAAGAAAACATCCATTTCGCCAGCATATAAGACCTTCAAAAACATTTAAATCGAAAATTTGCTTACTTAATTTCAAAACAATGTATTATTTTGCTACTACATTTCATATATTTGAATTAAAGTTTAATAATTGTAATTTATAATGATATTCCCTGTATACAAAAATTTCTTTATTGCCCGGCACATACTCCTTTAAGAACGCTATGAACCACTGTTCGTATGTAACGATACTTTCCGATTTTTTCTTTAACCGATTTGTTCACATCGATGTTAAATTTTCGTTTAATAATGTCGTATAGGTCATATGACCTCTCCAATAATATTGGTTTAGCGGTGTTGATCGGCTATTAATACCGGCTTGACGCTTTGATCCGAAAAAAAATTAACGCGTCAATATCAAAACCAGTGTTAAAAAGCCAATAAACACCACTCAAACCGATATTATTTCTTAAAAATATCAAAAGCATTGACTGTTATAGCCAGTAAAAGAATGACAAAGATTTCTTTGAACGATAAAAATAAATAAAAGGACATATAAAATTAGATTCGACCTTGCTATACCTTCAGATTGAAAACTGACACTTAGAGTCTTAACTACATTGTCACAACACAGAGGGTATTTCAGCAAGTACTTGTTGTAGTTAAACATAAACCATGTTTACCGTTATGCAATACTTTAGAATCCGCAAGATTTTCAGGGGAATCCGTTAATAACCAACAAAAAGTCATTAAATATTCAAATATCTCAGGTTAATATTGCCAAACAATATATACATGTAGATTATATAAACGTCGCACGATTATTCAATGGAAAGCGTAAAGAGGATTTTTTTTATATTGGGAAAAACTCGGCGCCTTGTATAAAAAATAAACCGTTATAATTTAGCTGACATTATGACTTCACGATGATATTATTCAACATTATAATTTAACCATCCGTGAGGTATGGTGTATTGGTATAGGTGCTGGGCTACTGATCTGTAAGTTCCTGATTTGATTTCAGCACGGAATAAAGACACACATTTTTTTAATTACTTGCAAGAATTTATTTAGCATCATTCTACTACATCTGGTTTAAGGATACATTTGAAGCAGTGTTTTTTTATACAATTATATTTTTATTACATTAAATTTAATAAAAAGCACAGCGCGTTTATAATACATGTCACAGGGTGAGAAAAATGTGCAGCCTGTGTTTACGTCTATATTATTGAAGTGAAAGACCTTTACCGACTACGCTAAGAGGAATCCTTAATTGTGGCCATTTAACAAACTGGTTATATACTTTCATAATGATTAAACAAATAGATCGTAAAATCAACAATATGGTCAAATGCAAGGTGTTGGAAAATACCCGTTTGATAATTATAAAGGTAGTTCGTGATGCATATATGGGTATTTTATTCTTTTTTTTTTTGAGAATTCGTCCGTATATTTCAGAAATGTGTTGAGATTCGTGTGTATTACTTAAGAGTTTTTTGGGAATTCGTTCTTATTTTTCAGACATGGGATTTCATGCGTATATTTTTGCAACAAGATGTTAATTACACGTATTAGATTATTCATCGGTATTTGTAAAAGACGTTTTGCCAATTCGTCTGTATTTGTAACGCGTATAAATGAATATTTGTGATTAATTTCAAGCATGTGTCGGTTATTCCATATTATCTGTAACACATGTGTTGGGAATTCGTGCGTATCCGTTGCATTTGTATGGGCATTGTATTAGTATATGTAACATTGAGATTTCTGCTTTATTCTCTTAATGAAACCAGTACTTGTAAAAACCAGAAAGAAGACTAAGAGTTGGGTTTTATCACTCACTATCAAGCTGAATAAAGTAAAATATATGTACAAGTTTATCTTTATATCTTGCAACTCACTGTATTAAATTTATTTCTTTTCAGAGTTAAAAGTGGCATTTACAGCATACTACTTAGATAAAAGCTCATCATCAGAAACTACCCTTGTGTTCAGATCAGTATACATTAACTACGGCAATGCGTACAGCACTTCTACCGGGAAATTTACCTGTAAAGTTCCCGGATTATATCATTTCTCTGTTACGGTAACAAAGGATTATTATGCTAAATTGGGTTATGTTGACGCTCATTTAAGGATCAATGGTAGTATGAAATTATTTTTGTGGTTGGACCCATATGATAACGACGACACGTTTGAATATGGATCGTCCCCGTTAACACAGTCTGGAACATTTCACCTGAATAAAAATGATGTTGTAGATATTTACGGTACTCCTAACATTTTTTTAGGCCGTGACAGAACTTGTACATTTACAGGATACTTGATAACACCCGATTAGTTTTTATATTATATGCCAGATAGTCCCTCTTATTAAATATTTAAATGTAAAGATGGATGTTTAAACACATTTACGAATAATTATCAAGTTTATTACAGAAGATTTTAAGTAAAATTTAACTAAACCGTGCTGTCTAGACAAATTCCTATTATCGTTGGTGACTTACATTTTCTAAAATGATAATGGTTTCATAATTCTAAATGTCTTATTTTATTTTGACATTCTTTCTGAGTCTATCATAATAATATTTCAGATCTACACATATTAATATAAAAATATAAAAGCTATAGATAATTTTTGCATGGCCTTTGAGCTTTGTGCAGTGTAAGATGTTGGTAAATTATATTCGCACGGAATTTTCGTGCACTTATTTCAATCGGATAGAATTCAAATTGCTTTTTACAGAATGTAAGACGATATACATAAAAACATCTTCCAATGAACAACTGTCAGTTTCCTGAATGCTAAAATCAACAGTAACTTTGTTCCTGGAAATGGCCATCCAATTCATTTGATTCAATTCTTGATAAACTGAATTTATTCATGAGATGCGCTATCAAGTTCTCTACAACTTTCCGTTGGTTTCTATGGTGTCCTGTTTGAGGCAGGTAAAATATCGCCTGTTAGGATGAATTTTAATAATAATATTCGAATAATAGAGAGAGCTATTGTAATTCTGAATTTTGACAGAAGTATGGCCCTTTTTGAACAAACAATTCTACAATATTCAGGCTCTTGTTTTAAAGGGACTCCACTGAGGTTTTTTGACATGACGAGACTGGAAATATTTTTTTGAGATTATTACTCCATTTGATGTAGATCTATAATAAATTGTGCAAAATCTCAGATCATTAACTCGCTCTATTTTTTCCAGAATAATTATTATAATAGTGAAAAATGACCAAAAATTAAAAGCGTTTAAACGCTTTTCAATCAAATCGGACTGAAAATAGCAGAAACATAAGACATTCAATGTATTTTTTTGTATATTTCTTATTTTATTTTTCTGTTTAAAGTGCTCATGTTTGTCTGTGTGAAAAATTAAAATGTTATGTTTTTAAGCTTTGGACCTCAGTGGAGTTCCTTTAACATCAAGCACTGAAAATGCTTAGCGCACTGGCGCTTGTTAATAGATAAGTAGCGAGATTTAACATTCTCTTTCGAAGACCTTTCACTTTCGACACTAGTACTGTAAATAACCCACTTTTCTCGAAAGAAACATGCAAAAATTAACTAAAGATTAATCATCGCGAAGATTTTTACCTTTTGATTCGAACGAGGACTAAAGTTAAGCACAACCTTGAATTGCGCGAAAAGTTTCTTGCGAGAATGTTAAATCTTGCTACTTTATCTATATAAATACAGAAACACGGGACAAAACTTTTAGAAAATCTTGTATGTAAATAGGAGTCTTTTAACTGGCCCAAGAAGGACACCGTATATTTCAACTGTAACAAATCCACGTGGAAAGAAACGGTTATCTTGCAGACGTAAAGAAACACTATTTGAATAGCTCTGCAAGGGGGGGGCGGGTATAGTAGTATAATTATCAATCACCTCTCTTGATTTGAATCCCGTCAGGGACTATTAATTATTTAAAGTGAGTTGTTCGTTCTACTAAGAATAGAGCTCGTGCAAATGTATAATTATTTTTACCTATTTTAGCCATATAATTTATCAGATGTAAGTTACAAGTAGTTTATTGCGTGCACGGTTCGCTTGTCTTTTATAATTCTAATATAGAATGTCTGTGTACTTGGTTAATGGCATTGTTATATGTACTGTGTGTACAGGTGGTACAAGGATGAGACTTAGATAAACAAATAAAAAAGGGATAAAAAAATGTTTCGGTATTCCTACACCTGTCAAATAATTGAGAAGCGCTGTGACTTAAACAATACGATCAATAAATCGACACACCCTTGGCATTTGATATTCTCTAGTTACATCAGCGTATCTCTGTGTGTAAAACAATCAAACAGATGAAAGAAAAAGATTATTCTATTCTGATAATGATATTTTTGACTTTAGAATAGCATTTTCTATTTTATAGAACACATTGTAAACTTGTTATCAGTAGATTTCTGTTTCAGTTACATGTTGCATATAAATAAAAAGTGTAGTTCATTAAAACTTTGTTTCATTAAAACTTTTGCAACGACCTTAGTTATTTGTTGTTTATTTTGATGTCAAAGTTTGTAATTAAGATATAATTATAATTATCTTAATACTTTTCATTTCAGAAAATATAAGTAACTTTTTTTGTAATAATAAGGTTTAAACCATGTATATACTTCCATATACTTCAACTCTCTATAGTAGATAACCTGTCGAAGTTATTAATAGATTAGGAATACTGCCTATTGGTCAATATCAAGTGGGTCTTTCATAAATAGCTGCATCACTTGTGCAGTCTCTCTCTTTCACTCCACTGACCTTTGGATTTAATACAGTTTATTTACTAGAAAATATTTTCTAGTAATTAATTATGTAAGAGGTAAATGTTAAAGTTGTCTAAACACCATGATGGTGATTCAACAACTTGTGAAATGTGTGAAGTTTTATAGTTCTAAGTGCAAGTTTGTGTAACTTGATGGCTTTCATATCTACATAGTGTTTAAATTGTTTATGATAAAGTGTTAGTATCTTTGTGCCAGATGTGCTAAGTTACTGCTTCACTATGAAGGTGATGTAGGTACTTAGAAAAGTTTGTGTATAAGTGAATGAGGTTGTAAAGTACCTTGATCACCATGGGTGAAGTAACCACTTAGGAAATTTACACCATGTTGGTGATTTAACAAATTAGGGTTTTCTGAACATAAAAAGTTTAAGTTCCTTAATCACCATGTTGGTGATTTAACTACTTAGAAAATTGTCTATTAAATTACATATGTATAATGATTGTGAAGTTCCTTGATCACCATGTTGGTGAAATATTTCAGTTTGTGAAATAGTGGATGAAAAGTGATTCTAATTTGAAACAGTGCTAGTAAGTGAATCATTAGTGATGTGCTATAAGGTGAATTTTCAGTAATGTGTTTTAACGTGAATTTTAGTGAAGTGTTAGTAAGTGAACTTTAGTAAAGTGTTAGTAATTGAACTTAAGTGAAGTGTTAGTAATTGAACTTAAGTGAAGTGTTAGTAATTGAACTTAAGTGAAGTGTTAGTAAGTGAACTTTAGTGAAGTGTTAGTAATTGAACTTAAGTGAAGTGTTAGTACGTGTATTATAAGTGATGTGTTGATATAAATGACAATGATTCATGGCTCTTATTCTGAAAAAGTAAATTTTCAATGATGACTTAGCGAGTTATTGTAGATGTTAGAAAAAGAAGAACTTTTGTGCATGCATTGATGTAAATAACTTTATAAATGTAGAACATAGTTAATAAAATTTAGATTAGATGAACACCTCTTTTTGTTATATTTGTTATATTTGTTATATAAATAAGTATCTAAATCTGGTACTAGACGAATCCCAAAAACTGAGCATCTTGCTGAGGTAAATTAATTTACTTATGATATCACACGACCAATTTGCCCGCAGGATCGCTTCACTTTTACATTAATTTTGTTTGGTTTCACAGTACATTCAAACGGTGTTGTTATCCTGACAATTTGAAGTTCCCTCCAGTTACAATCATTTAACCTATGCTTGATTATAGAAAGCCACGCTTGTCTAATATTGTTCCTTTTCAATAAATTCAACCATGTGGATTATATATCAGTACAGTTTCATTATATATGAATTGAAACACAATCTAATTAAACCGGAAGTCATTATATTAATCCACAGTTACAATATATGAAGCAATTTGGTCAATGTATGAAACCAAGGTAGCTATATATAATTTGATTTTCTCAATTTATGATATTTATATATATACCAAAGAGGTTATATTAATTGATAAATGAACAATTTAAGAAGGCCATGGCTTTCCATTCCTGATTCTATGATAAAAGGCAGCAAGTAAACCTCAAATTTTATAGAGGCCAAAATAAAACGTATGTATAAGGAAAACAAAAACAGGATGCCGTCCAATTACTTAATCTGGCATGTAAAACAATGAGTTTTGAACAATACCTAGGATTGTTAATGCAATTCATTCCTGTCATATGAAACAAAATAATATTTTGCTTACTTTTTCTAGAAAATATAAACAGTCAGCAATTAATAATTAACATTTTTTTCTTAGAGTTAAAAGGATATCAAAAAGTTACTGTGTTCTCATTTGTCTCTGCGAGCTGGGCTCCACGTGCATTATCTATGTAATAAATTTGAATGTATCCTCACATTGCTACAGTGTTATCAGCCTTTAGAGAAACACCTGACCTGGCTAATTAAAATATGCCAATCACAATTTTCACTATCTTCATGAAAAAGCGGCTACACTAATTACTGCCGAGTAAGAGCCGATTTGCAGTTATATACGTTAATTCACTACGAGCGACTATTGTACACTACTTGGTATTTGAGAGGCTGATACAGAGTGGCTATGTAACATGATACATATATCTACATCATCATATATTGTATGGATACTACAAGTTTGTATGGTGAATTTGACTTTACCACGACCTTATTAAAAATGAAACAAATAAAAGAGATTTTATCTCGACCGTGTTTCGTGTAAAATATATTAGTATACATATGGTACGTCTTTATCGTCAACTACAACTGTCGTCACGGTTTTCAAATGAAACAGTGTAATAGAATTCGGTCAAGGTAAATATGTTGCAAACATTCATCTTGCTCTTTCTAAGCTGCTGCGTAATATGTTAAACAGAAAATGATTGTGGTTTTCTAAGGAGAATTTTCATCTTATGTTGATGATAAGATCATGTTTAAACGTTCTTCCAAAGTTGTTTACACGCAATCAGTTGAAGGTTAAATTTGTTTGAATGTAGACATTCGTCTGGAACTCTCAATAAAGCTGCGATATTCTAGTTGAGCTACGCAACATATGGTTTTCATTCAAAGTTGATAAAGGTAATTCAGTCACTTAAGTGTTGTACGAGGGATAATGCAGAATTATTGGAATCAAGCCATAAAGTAAAAAATTTATATGAAAAATTCATATAGCCTACACAATATATTTTCTGTACTCAACATCGCTAATTATGAAGATGCAAAATTGCCATGTGGGTATATTTTTGTGTAAGATAAATAATGCTAATACTATAAGTATTGGCAGTTCTGTGCACATTTTCGTGTTCTTGGAATTAAGACACTAATTCGTTTTTTATCGTGTTAACACGAACAGTAACGAGCTTTTTCGGGAACTTGTGTTCTACTTCAAAAAAATCTAAACGAGTATGCGCCTTTTACTTTTATTCATTTAAAATTTGTACTGTGCAATAAATAATAAACATAAAAACATTCACATCATCATTGAATTATATATGAATTACATAATAAATCTAATTAGAACTTTTGAACCTTTAAATGTAGCCACGAGTGAAAATATAATAGCTGGTGTTCACAAATGAAATATATTTCAATCTTATATGTAAAACAAATAAATTTTCTTTTTATTTCATGCTTTTTAAGTGATTTTAAGTATTCTTTTTTTGATTCTACCTCGTAACGTCGCGCATTCTCCTGATGTCACATCATCAATTTTGAAATATAGTTCTGTTTAATTTCTCTAATTTTGTTATATTTTAAACATGATGTATTGACATCGACTTTCTTTTCATAAAGAAGCAAAATTTACGAATGACAGCATTTATTTCTGCCTGTTATTCCATTTAGTTATGATTCTCTTTTCATCCGCATTCAGATATAGTCCGGCTACAGTGAAAATTATATTTTATAAATTTCACTAGTGGTTTATCAGAATATAATCATCTGATATATTACAATAAAACACTGGAAAGCATGAAATAATGAGAAGTAATACCGAAAAATCCATTGTTGTTTAGTAGTTCTGCTCTACTCCAGCAACGAAACGGTCATTCAGCGAAAACGTACTTCAGATATATTATGACCGCTGTAAAAAAATCCTCTAGGTAATACAAATATTGAAAGAGACAAGGAAATTTACTATGAATGAATACATGTAGTGGGTCAACTTGCAGGCAGAAAAAACGCCGCCTTGCATTTCCACTCACAAGATTTTCTGCAGTTTCTGATGATATAATATTACAGCACGCGTATAGATTTGAATAATTATAATGATGATTGTTTATTTTTGAAGAAAACCTTGTTGTAAAATGTGAAAAAAATTATCATCAGATTATGGTTTTGCATGTGTGGGATTTGCCAGATACCGTATGTGAAAAGACTTTTATATTATGTTTGCAACAACGGATTTTCGATATTGTATGTGGATATTTTGCCTTTCAAGATAAGATGTTATTTTACAACATAAGGGTTGTCATCACATTCTTTGAAAATTCAAACAAGTCTATACCAAAAGAATCGTTATTGCATATACTGTGGCCAGAACGACATTGAAGACGAATATCATTTTATTTTTAATTGCCTGTATAATATTGATTTCAGGAAAATTTTCATAGATATTATTATATTAAACCAAGCAGCATAAATTTATAGAGCTATAAAAACTGTTTTAAAAAATCCCACAAATTTAGTTATTTATATAAAACGTGACCTTAAGAAAATCTGCTACACATACTAATATTTAGACGATCCTCTTGGAACTGAAACGATCATGTAATTGCATTAAAGTTAAATGTGTTAATGTATGTGTTATTGCAATTCTATACCAAGAAATATTGGTTTATCATTTGACTGTATCAGTTTTGTAAACATGTAACGATATTGTACCTTTGGTACAAATCTAATAATATATATGCTCTTTTCTGTTCTGGTGTGAATAACAATACCAGGCGTTTGTTGTTTAGTTGTTTATATGATTTTTTTAAGATAAAAAACAACACCTAAAAGAATAATGTTATTCAAACAATTACCGTCTAGTTATCCAACTGAAAATATTTCAAGTATAAATTTCAGGCGGTGCTGCCCTGCCTTCATATTTTGGGAAGTGGATAAAGTTTAATTTAAAAAACCACTCAGAATAAATTACATCAAGGTCATTCTCTTCACAGCATATGTCATAAAAACATATTATTTTGAGATTTGGAAATGCATTACCTTGCTAGGTTAGTGAAATTGCTTAAACATGAACAAGTGACATA